CAAAGACGGAAATCTCCGTCTTTTGAGTATTATTATACAATTCGATGGATATGGAAGTTGTGGACCTGTGGTAGAAATTTCTGCAATAAATTCGTTTTTGGCCGTACATTTTTTCACTTTTGAAACCCCACCCTCCCAGCATGCTTAGTGTGACATGTTTGCTTATACCACCAAAGAGCTTGAGTATCTCCTGGATACGAAACGCGACGAAGAAAATGGATCGCACTCTGTTTTCAGAAGAGGACATTTCAGAAACCTTTGCGGATTCGGACTCCGAAAATGATTTTTTAGTATGCAACGATGTATGTACATGTCTTACTGTGTTTTTATTTTCTTGTACATTTATCAATAAACAAGATAAAACAAGAGTTTTGATTTGATATTTGTTGAGGCTGTCCTTCAACGTGTGCACAACAGTCAGGCTTGGTGGCCGATGCGTTATGTTAGCTAGGCCTAGGCCTAGCCTTATTCGGTAATTTAGCCAATTCTTAGCCCAGGCCTTGCATAATGTCTAAAGTAATGCAATATTTTATGTAATATATTGAGTACAGATTTACAGAAATATATAAAAGTACAGACTGCACTTAGTGAATGAAGTTGGCAGGCCTAGACCTAAATATAGTAGCGTGTGAATGATGCGTCTATGTAGGCCTAGGCCTAGCAATGAAAATATGCAATATTCACACTTTTTAGTTGTTTGGGGGGGGGGGTAGCCAACCCTACCCCTGGGCTCAGTGGTGGGTATGTGTACAAGGTCGTGTGCAATTACACCAGTGTTCTTATATTTCATTTTTATCAATATGTGAATATCTAATAACAAAGCAATGAAAATATGCAATATTCACATTTTTTTAGTTGTTGTTTGGAGGAGGGTAGCCAACCCTACCCCAGGGCTCAGTGGTGGATATGTGTACAAAGTCGTGTGCAATTACACCAGTGTTTTTATATTTCATTTTTATCAATATGTGGATATCTAACAAAGCAATGAAAATATGAAATATTCACACTTTTAGTTGTTTTGAGAGTGAGGGTAGCCAACCCTACCCCAGGGGCTAAGTGGACCTTATCCATGCGTGGGATTTATAATTTTATTATGTTAGATTCATATATGTATAAATAACTAATACACTAAAGGGGACAGCTTTATTGCCTGAAAAGAGTGAAATTGCAATAAGTTATGTGTTTACTATTCAAAATTGTGTTGCAATAATTTATTGTATGAATAAAATGTATGATATCATTTGAAAGCTCATGAATTACTCTTTATTTTGGTGTAAAGAACATTCCATATTTGTATATACATGTGTTCTCAATGTGAACTGGAAACTTGGTCATACAGGCTAAAATGGTCTGGCAGTTAAAGTGTTAAAGAAGGAAAATTTATATGAAAACAAGACAAATTGGATTTGTTACTTACACTCCACAGCAGCATATGCATCACAAGTGTAAGCAAATGTCACAAAGCAGTAATTGTCCCTGAAAGTAAAATAATAAACAACAAATGAAAAAACTATTTAATCATCACCATAATAAAAATGATAATAATAATTATAAAACTGATCAACAAATTAAACATTGGTCTACTTATACTACTCAGCAATATTATTGTCGATCAAAAAATTATTTACCCTTTGTCTCGGAAATGAAGAGTTATGCGTGTAATGTCCCCAAATTTACTGAATCGACAACTGATATCACGTCGAGTGGTTCCTTCAGATATATTGCCCACATAAAGTACTCGTCGATCTTCCTGAAAACAGAATTAACGTAACAAAAATTCAAGGAAGCATAAGAACAGAATAAATGCTTTCTCAATATTGAACCAAACGATGTTAAAAAAAAATCTGAAAAATTTTTATTTACTTCTCACAGTATACTACTGTACCTGATCCACAACAAATAAAGGTTACACTATCCACTCCATTTGTGGCGATTGAAGCCAAGACAGGATGTTTAAATTTCAGAGTGAGAGACAGAGAGAGTGTGTAGATATACTTCCAATTAATCTTTAATATTCATTTGCCGTCTTTTTCAAGATGGAAAGAGATGTATTTGAGTCTCATTTTGAGCATCCATGTCTAGTCATGCAAAGAAAGTTCTAAAATTTGTAGGTAATTATACAATGGTCAGCACTAAACTCACCCATTCCTGTTCTTGCCTCTTCTTCATCTCAAGTCTGCGTTCCCTGCTTACTGACCGATCACGAAGGTATCGCCTTGCAGGGTAAAAAAATTACAAATATGAATACTATCATGGAAAAATTGTTAATTATTAATATTTTGGTTAAAATATCTATCCACTTATTATACATCAAACATATATTGATATTTCAATTACCTTTTTCGATCTGATGACCGACGTCCACTCCTTCGCCTACTTGATCTAGATCTTGATCGACACCTGCTTTGCCGACTTCTACTCCGGGAATGGGAACGAGAAAATGACCTAGATCTCGAGCGTGAATATGATCTTGATGGACATGTCGAGCAAGACGATGACCTTGTTCGTCGTCTTCGGGAGCCACGAGACCCTCGAGAGCTGGACCTTGATGACATTGAACATGAAGAGTGCGAACTTCGACGGTATCTCTGACGTCTTCTGTGATGCCCTCTTCGAGACCTGTAAGAGTTTGAACGCGACCGACTCCTCAAACTTTCATAGGAAAGAGAACGACTTTTGCGTTTGGTAAAGCTTTGTGAACTGGTATGGGTCCACTGGCTTGACCTATCACTAGACCTACTACTAGATCTACCCCTTCTGTAAGGGGAGTATGACCTTTCCCTCCATCTGTGCATATCATCATCATCTTTATTTTTGACTTCATCACTACTTCCAATCTCACCACTGTCTTCTTCCTCTGGAATGACCTCACGTTCTTTACATTTAGCTAAATACTCTGCATTACCTGCATCACTTTCATCGTATTTTTGTCCACATTCTTTTATTAAGCTATTTATTTCTCCATCCAATTGAGTAACGTTATCATGTTTTACAGCATCAATGTTCATATTAATCTTGTCCACACAGGATCCAATATTTGTATCAATACTTTCTGCAAAATCAACTGATGCCGAAACCTGCAATTTTTGTTCACAAGTTATGTCATATTGGCTCTCTATAGCTTTATAAATGTCTTCTTTAGGACAGACTTCCTCTGTTTTATCAACTTGCTGAGTTTCCATGTTTTCTTCTAAATTGGGAACCACTGGTCTAGCTTCATTTACTTCATTGACTGATGTTACTTGGTCTCTGGCACTGATGGCAGGAATAAGTTTGTCTTGTGAGTTGTCAGTAGTGGCAGGCTTCAACTGTTCTTGACCACCAACACCGTAAACAGGCATTCTTTCTTGTTTTACTGGCTTTCTAATTTCTATGAAATCAGTTGGGTGTACTTCATTGGCACTCAATGGTTTTGTTTTTTTATTCTCTTGCTCAATTCTGATCAAACTTTCATTGTCTGAACATAACTCTGTAATTAGACTGCGACTTCTAGATTCTTCTTTTTGGTAAGTTTCCTTCTTCTTTCCAGAACTAACTAATTCTGGTTGAAAATTTTCTTGAACTTTAATGTTGGATAATGCAGGTCGCAGATTGGGATTATCTACTTTCTTTCTTAAGTTCATCAGTGGTGGTTCATTCAGACTCTGAATCTTCAGTGTCTTCTTTTCTGGAATGACAGGTACTTCTAGCTTACCAAATCTCCTCTGGAATTCTTCTCTAGCCCTTTGGCTAATATCAAGTTCTCGATGAACACTGCCAACCAAAGCAGGAGATGGGGAATTAGAATTCATCATGAATCCAGCATCTAATATTGTCTTAGACACATCCTGGTGGCTATGCCGATGATGGCGATGGTGATGGTGATGATGACGGTGGTGATTTCTTTTCTTGATCTTGTATTTTCCCATGTACAGTTCATTTCTTTTTTCCTCTTTTTTCTCAGGAGTAGATAAATCACTGATCTCTCCATTCTCCTTATTAACACACTTGGGTGATAAGGAACCAGTAACATTCATGGGTAGGTAAACATTTGGTGTATAACAGTAATCATGATCCATTGATGGCACAGTCCACTGATGTACAGGACTGCAACTCCGGCTACTGTTGCAACTACTTGGCAGACTTGCTGGAAGACTGTTAGGGGCACTATTTGGAAGACTATTGGGGTTGCTGCATGGGTGGCTACAGGGTTGGCTGCTGGTAGTTTTGAAAGCAACATGATTCAGGGGTTTACGGTTCCGCTTTAAAGGTAGAGTAACATTCTCAAGAAGAATTGTAGATTTTCTTTTAACTGGGGCTATCTTCTTGGCAATCGCTTCAATTGACATATCTGTGATGTAAATGTAAAATGAAAAAGTGTTTTTTTATTCAAATTGCATGTGCAAGGAGGCATGCGTACATTTCACTTATGTCCTGGGCAAGGCACTTTACACTATGAGGTCTTTATACTAGATATTTTCCTGACGCAAACACATTAAAATAGTATTGCAGTATTCACTGCTATTTGGGGCTTAGATTCAACACTAGTCACTAAGCACAAGCTCGGTGTTCTAGTGGTTATAAGACAAGGCTGAGTTATCTGGGGGTTGTGTGTTCAATTCTTACCTGAATCACAAGTATTGGAAACATACTGAGTATTCAGTAAGATAACATGTCATGTAGGGAAAAAAATCACTCCTATGATATTTTCCTGATGCAAACATACATCAAAATATATTCTTATTAATATTTTGATAACCAACGGTTTTTAAAATAACAGACAAAATTTGTTTTCGCTGTGTAATAGTAAATAACTGTAAATAGTTTAGAGTGCTGCTAAGAAATCGACCTGTAGGCAGCCACACTCAAATTTAAAGGTCAAATAATATGTAAAGATAACATTTTTACCTGATTTCTTCAAGTCACTATCAGCATTCTTTTTACTAATAAAAAAAGAAAAATTGCATTTGAAAATCAACAAATATTTGAATTATGTTAATTGATAAATACTACATTCATTTTTGTAATTTTAAAAAGAAATCCTAAGTAATTTTGAAAGACTTTCCAAAATTAATTAGGATTTTGGAAAGTCTTCCAAAATTAATTAGGATTTTGGAAGACTTTCCCAACCTCCAATTCTGGGTTCCAATCCATTATTGTGCATTACACTTGTGTCTTTGAGCAAGGCACTTTCTCTGCATTGTTTCTGTCACCTAAGTACAAATGCAGGCTTTGCTTTAACTTTCTTTGGTAACTAGCCCACTGGGCTAATTTAGTAGCCCAACTATACATACACAAGTGCTCATGTACGTATGTATGTATGTATGTATGTATGAAGAAAATAGCTTGCAAAATTTTCACTAGACCACCGGGCAGCATAATGTGATAGATAGGCTGGCCTGGACCAGTATTAACTAGACATTGTACACCGGGCTAGTACTAAATTGAGCACTGACAAACAGAAATGGGTTGGCTGCTCCAGCGCTGATTACAGCAGCAACACTTTAGCATTTGAAAGAAGGTGCTATATGAATAACAAACAAATAAATGAAATAAACTTACCTGAAATTTGTGTTGAGTGGTATATGGGTAACCTCATTAGCTTGGTCTGTTTGAGAAACCTCGGATTCTTCAAATTGTTCCAGCAAGCTGTTCACATCTCCTGCTTCAATCCCTAGTAAGAAAAAAAAATTTGAATAAGCAGTTCTAAAAGCACATGAATAAATATGGACAAAAACTTTATGCGTGAATATTAAATTATTGTGTTATTGTTAATAGCAATAAGCAGTCATTTCGCAGACTACCTATTTACCCTTTAAACTTATGGAATATCAAGATAAACCATTTTAGTATATTATGCCTTAATATTTTTATTTAACAAAATCTAATAAATTCTTTTTTAATCTGTGAAAGAACTTGATCCATTTCACCAAGCTAACATTTATATACCATCAAGTCTATTTTTATAGCGAGTGGGTGGGATGTTGGCGTAACAAAAAAAACAATTAAATGAACCAGCTTACCAATCTCCAACCTGTCTTGATCCTGTGTGAAGATGTTTTTATCAAGAAGAAACTCATCTGGAGAAATCTTGCTTGTGTCCACATGTTCAATGGTGACATTTCCCATGTCATCGTTGACCCTCCCTTGGCCAATCCCTTCTCCATTATTCAAAATGTGAAGATAGGGGTTGAGGGAAGTGTCACCTAATGAGTTGTCCTCTAGGAGAGACACCATCATGATCCTACCAAGATAATATGATAATTAGTTTGCATACTTTTCAGACTATATCATTTTTAAAACTACATTCAATATTTAAATGCAAGGCTACCATTATCAAGCAACCTGAAGATATGGGTGAGCAGTAAATACATACAGTACATAATTTGACACTGCATATATTACAAAGCTCTGACCATGCAGACTGATAAAATACAAAAATACATACAAAAACTTAATTAAAGAACAATGTACAGTATGGAAATCAGAAGATAGACACCCCTGATAAAAGACACCCAACAATGGATCACACCATTGTAAGATGGGGATGCACCATGGGGTATTTGTCTTGATGTTGGTCTACAATAGGTTTAAACTGTGCTGTTTTTATCAGACCTATTTTATTCTTTTGTGTATTATGAATTAGAAACTGGGTGTAGCCTACTTAGGCATAAACATTTAGTACTTCAAATGCAAAACTTCATAGCTTCTCTTAATTATGCAATTGAGTGATTTCTAGAAATGGGCAATTCCATGGTCACAGACCGACTTTTTAAGGCATTCATAATGGTAAAAAACTGTTTAAATATTACAGATAAACCAGTAAATCTGAAATTCCAAGTAAATTTTATACTCCTTCCCACACACTTTTAATTGACAATATTACAAAAATCAAAACATAAAGTCATTTATGAAATATTGATATTAATATGTTTGGTCACAGACCGACTTAAAAAAAAAAGAGAAAATTTTACAAATATAAACTTTGTGCAATTCTATTGAAAATATTACGAAATGATTTATGGTAACACATCCAGTATGTAAAATCATATATAAGGAATTAGTATCAACGGAGAAGGTGATGTAAAACTACATCATGGGGATGGCAGGGTAGATGGTACCACCTTGGGTCTGGTCACAGACCGACGGTCACAGACCGATGGTCACAGACCGACCTATCGATTTGCATGATAGTATATGATGGAATCTGGCACATTATAAGGAGAAAACACTTTATATATAAAATTAAATACTAAAAACTTGTTACCAAACATTGTATATAAAAAACCATAACTTAATTCCTTATAGTAAACAAAAATTTATTTTGTAATAAAATCAGATTATTTAACATATTAAGAATGGTATTATTTACCTAATAAACGTCACAGAAAATAGTCTTAAGCAAAATCATGATTGCTTGGATGTTAATTGATCTGACCCAGTTAATAAATACTCTAGTACTTAATGAAAAAAGGCATATTAAACCAAGAAAATTATGAAATACATTTTATGCATTATGGGTATCTGGAAGTGTTTTCACATCCTCCCAGCGACCATCAAACATGCTCCATTTTCCATCTATGGTTGCCTTTGAAATGAATAGCATGGTTTTTTTCTTTAGATGTTAATGGCAATGGTGGCGCCAGAAGTTTGCTAACAAGGGGTCCGACATGTCTGATGCAGGGGTCCGAACCAAAGCGACGACAAAGCCTCGGTCGATAGCCCAAAACAAAAAAATCTCTGTTAGGGTTCTTGAAGGGAGTTTTTATGGCTTAATTTAACCCTAAATGAGTTTTAGACCACAATATTAGGGATTGGCAATCAAGA